GTTAAGTTCATGTCGTATTGCTCTCTGACACGAGGTTTATAATGAAACTTTTTTAGAGTTCCTTCAATGGCTGATGTCGTACTGTCACACGGTTCATCTTCACATGCTTCTTGGTTGTCCAACTTCTCACGTTTTTTAGGAGGTTCATTGTCACTTGTCTCATGATTCCTCTTTCCATCGCCCCCAGAATAGTTACGTTTGCAAGTATTCAGATGCTCCTTCAATTTATCTTTTCTGTAAAACTTGAGTTTGCAGTTTCCACAATTAAATTCTTTTTCTTGTGTGTGCTTTTTTTCATGGCGTTTTAGGTTATCTTGTCGATTGAAAGTTTCTCCACATCTTTCACACTTGAATATCTTTTCACTGTGAACACTTTTCTTATGTTTTTCGAGGTTTTGTTTTCCACTGAATGATTTGTTGCAAATATCACATCTAAATTGTTTAGCAGTTGGTGCTGAATTTCCCTCCATTGTCTTTGAGATGATGGTAGTAAATGATGGAAAATATATATGCGCAAAACTAAAATCCTTACAACCGTTTTTGTTGCCTGAGGGGAAAATAAGACTTACAGTAATTCTAGTGTCTGTTGTGCATTCGACGACGTCTCGCGGTTGAATGGTTTGATTGTCCTATAGTAAGCAAATATATTCATGAATGGTCTGTTGATTTCGGTCTACAAACACTTATTATGACGTCACCAGGCAAGATTGAGCAAGTTCACTGAAGTTTGACAGGTTTTGGCGCAAAGTTAGTAGATATAATTATCGATAATTTAGGTTAGAAATTGGCGCCATTTTAGAGTTTATGAAATATATCTATGATAAGAATACTATGTGCCTTGTTAATCCTGTCAGTCCTGAGTGGTATAAAGAAGAAGGCATTGACGAAATGTTATCATTTCTACTCAAAGTATCGAGGAATCAACATGGTTAGACGATACTGTCGAGATTGTCCCATAGAGGGCTGTGGTGCTAGATACCTTGTGAAGCTATCAAATCATCTACATGATGTTCATGGTTTAAACTCTGCCGAGAGACGGAAATATCTTCAAGAATCAAAGCTTCAACCACGAGTAAAAGTTGTCATTTATCATGATAATAGAGGAAATCAAAAGCAGAACACTCATGATTGCAACTGCGGGAAAGTTTCTGACGTTCAATCACTTCCAAGTGATTTACACAGTTGGAGTAATACATCTACAAGACTTGTGTATCAATACTCTATTCCAAGGAACCAGTTCAGAGCGAAAAGTCAAGTAAGAAAGCATAAGAAACTTGAGAAAAATATACAAGAAATGCAGCTCTCAAAAGGAGTTACAGATCTACAAACTGAAGAGGATTAATATAACGTTGTTCCACATTTATTGCGTTTTTTTTAAAGACTAGACAGAATCTAAACTTTGAGGAGTAAAGTTGCAACGTGGATGAAGCTATAACTGTGTACCGATGACAAATTTATACCGCTTGGCAATCTAACAAAATCGAAGCGTCAAGAATGAAACTTATAAAAATCAAAAGGACTATGGCTATAGTATCAAACTCTTGAAGACAAGAAATAGTTAAATGATGTTGATGATTTAGAAGTATAAAATT